CCCGAGCTCCAGGGGGCCGGCCCCGCCCCCTCCGGACCCCAATGGCTCCCCCCACCACACACACACCTGCGGGGGAGTGCCCAAATCCAGGCGCTAGCTTAGAACTCGTAGTCTGAGACCCTCCAGGTTCAGGTAGGGATAAGGGGGTCCCAGCCCCAGAGGGACCCCCCCGGATAGCATCCTAGCATCCTAGGGGCGGGGTCCCAGGACAAGCTCGCCTGGACCAGCCTGCCGGTGCCCTCTGGTGGCTGTGAGCGGGAAGTGCAGGAGCCCTCGGGCAGCCTTGGCTGCAGGAGGTCAAATTTTAGATACGCTGGGGCATCTTTTTGTTTCGTGCCAGTTCTAGAGCTTGAACTCAGGGCCTGGGAGCTGTTCTTGAGCTTTTGTGCTCAAGGTGAGCACTCTACCACTTGAGCCACAGCTCTACGTTTGTCTTTTTTTTTTTGGAGTAGTTACTTGGAGATAAGAGTCTCACAGACTTTCCTGCTCAGGCTGGCTTCGAACCGCGATCCTCATATGTCGTGAGTAGCTAGGATTACAGGCATGAGAAGGGTGTCAACTAAGCATGTTAGTTTCTAAGTCCAGTGCATCTTGACCAACGATTATTTGTTTCTTCCTGTCTCTTCATTCCCACCTAACGAGAAAGGAGCTTTCTTTTTTGAGAGAGGCTGGCTTCTCCTCAGCCACCCCACGTAGGTATTACAGGTGTGCACTACTGTGTCTGTTGCCACTTAGTCTATTTTATGTAAAGAATTGTTGCTGAACTGTACAAGTTAAAGTGTTTAGGAGAGCCAGGCACTTAGTGGCTCACGCCCATAATCCTAGCTACTCAGGAGGATGAGATCTGAGGATCGCGGTTCAAAGCCAGCCCAGGCAGGTAAAGTATTGAGACTCTTATCTCCCATTAACCACCAGAAAACTGGAAGTGGTGCTGTGACTCAAAGCGGTAGAGTGCTGGCCTTGAGCTGAAGAGCCAAGGGACAGTGCTCAGGCCCAGAGTTCAAGCCCCACGACCAACCACAACAACAGCAACAAAAAGTGTTTAGAAGGCGAAGCCACCATGAATCATGCCCCTTTCCTGTTCAAGAGGCGAGCCCAAGCAAACGGCGCAGCCACCGCTCAGGTGCCGGCTGCTCCGCGCACGCGCTGTGTCTCCGTGCCCTACTGGAGTGGAGCTCTACGAAGCCACGCCCCCTTCTTCGCTCAAGGGGCGGGCCCAGGTGCGCCGCGGCACCGAGGAGCCACCACTCAGGTGCCGGCCTTCTGCGCGTGCGTCTTGCACGTCCCTCTTTGCCAGGTGCGCCCCGCCTCCGTGCCTGGTGTCCACCTTCTAGCCGCTTCCAGGCGTCCGCCATTGGCTCGGGTGTCCCCTGAGCATTTGGAGGTGCGGTGCTTCTAGGCTGAGTGAAGTCGCCGAGTTGTCACTGGGAACTAGGGCCTGTCCGCGCACCGCCGCCGACTCTCTCCTCGAGCTCCGGGCCTCCAGCGCGCGTGCGCGGCCGGGGTCTTCCAGCACCTGCTCGCGCGAGACCCCAACGGCCGGCGTCCGACGCCTCC